CAGCGACGACACGACAGTCTCAGGGGCCAAAGGGTTCCCACTTCCGACTCAGCATGGCAACCGGAGCTGACATCATCACTAAGCGCCTGGGCGTGTGTAYTCTCACCTCCGCGCCGGAAGCGGGATGCGTCCGCCCTTTCAGACAAATGGCACGCAAACACCCGCACTGCGCACGCGCTAGCTTGTTCGAAGCCTGCTGTGGCGGGGCGGAAGTGGCGGAAAATGGCCCTGGGATCGTGTTGGGATTGGAGGTGGGGTCTGTTGGGCGAAGTGGTTTGGAAGTTAGTGGTATATGAGGGTGGTCTTTGGAAATCRTAGCATCTAGCGCAGATATAACTTTGTGATCTCTGGTTCTGGTCGTAAACTCTGTAGGGATTTTCCCACTGGTACCATACCTTTCCGAAGCAGCTTCTGTAACTTTTCGTAGATTATTATTTGTGAAGCAGTAAAAATGACAGCAATAACAACTAAGATTTGAGCATGTGTAGGTGCCAGATAATGTGCGATTTTTTAAAAAATTGGATTTTACAGTGCCAACAGCATACAATCCACAGGTTCGTTTTGAAATATGCAAGAGTAATGGGAGCTGCATAGTTTTAAAAATAGAAGCACTGTGCAAAAAAAGACAATTCATAGAATGAGAAAAATTTTGTAAGCCATATATGTGATAAAGGATTAATATCAAGAATATATAAAGAACTCCTACAATACATTGACAAAATACCAAACAATCTAATTCACAGATGGTTGAAACACTTGATTAGATATTGCTACAAAGAAGATACTCAACATCAGTAGTCATTGGGGAAATGATGATCAAAACTGTAATAAGAYACTGCTGCTTCACTACTACTATTGATGGGTTTTATCAAAAAAATAGAAGACAGATGTTGGTGAAGATGTTAAGTTGGAAGCTTATGCAATTCCGATGGGGATGGAAAAAAAATGCACCACTTGGAAAACAGTTTGATGGTTTCTCAAAAAGTTAAACATAGTATTATCATATGACCCAGCAATTCCACTTCAAAACCTATGCTCAAAAGAATTGAAAGCAGGGACTTAACTGGCACTTGGACACCCGTGTTCATACTAGCATTATTCATAATAACCAAAAGAGAAAAAAAAAAAAAACCCTGAATGTCTACCTACAAATAAATGATGGACAAAATAYATAAATACTGCAGACTATCATTTGACCTTTAAAAGGAATAAATGCATGCCACCACATGGATGGACTTTGAAAACATCATGCTATGTGAAATTAGCCATATATGACAATTCTATATGATTCAACTTACATGTAGTACCCATAATAGACAAAGTCATAGAGTTAGTAGAATAAAGATTACCAAGGGATGGTGGAGAAAGGAGTGGGAAATTGTTTTCTAATGAATACAGGATTTTTGTTCAGGATGATGAAAAAGTTCTGGAAACGTATATTGGTGATAGCTGGTGAAGGTATTTAATGTCATTGAATAGTACACTTAAGACTTGTTAAAATGATAAGTTTTATATTATGCATATTTTAACCACATACACACAAAAAGCATTATGCAGTCTTTAGAATGCCTACACTGTTCTGGTTCCTTGAGATAACATAGTGAAATAAAAAACCCAGGTTTTTTTTTTCCTTCCTGAAACTTATAATCCTTTGAGAGTGGAGTTGTAACATAGTATTTAACTGRGGATGTTGCAGTAGTAGAGCCCTTGTCTAATGTACACAAGACTTTGGGTTCAATCACCAACACTGCAAAATAAAATAAATTAATGGGTGCAAGATAGATTATTCAATAAATATTTCTGGAATATCTAGGCAGCCATCTATCTGGCTTAAAAGTGGGTGCTATGGGRCATGCCTGTAATCTAGCTACTAGGATTGCAAGTTCTAGGCTAGCCTCGTCAATTTTGTGAGACTGCATCAAAATTAAAAATAAAAAAGAGCTGGGGATTGCTGGTCGTGGTAGCACACGCATGTAATCCCAGCAGCTCAGGAGGTTGAGGAAGGGGGATCATGAGTTCAAAGCTTCAGCAATCTAGTGAGGTCCTCAGTAACTCAGCGAGACCCTGTCTGGCACAGTTCAAATATTTTAACAATATATGATGTGTGAAGTAACAAGCACTTTTGTTTATTGTTATTGATAGTGTATATTAGTATAACCTCTATGAGGTACACTTTGTCAACATTTAATAAAACTACAATGCAAATGCATGATGGTTCAACAATTTCATTTATTTGTTCTTGTTATAAATAATCTTTAAGCTTGTTCAAAATGACATTTATCATTAGAGCTAAAACAATAAAACACTAAAAATTATAAAAATAAGGCAGGAGAAAAATCTTAGTGATCATGGATTTGGCAAAAATTTCTTAGAGATGACATCACAAATATAATCATTAGAGCTGGGGTCTAGCTCAGTGGTAGAGTGCTTGCCCAGCTGGCACAAGGTCCTGGATTCAATCCTCAGTACCTGGGGGGCAGGGAGCGTGGAAATGCAACATAGCTAGGTGCAGTGACACACGCCAGTAATCTCAGTTTCTTGGGTCTTTRAAGCAGGAAGATTGCAAGTTCAAGGTCGGTCTACGAAATTTAGACCCTTTAAAAAGGGGGATGGGGAAGGCTGAGGGGTATAATTCAGAGTGTTGGCTTGTACCAATAAGTGTGAGGCCTTGAATTTGATACCATGGAGGTAAGTGAAAAGTACTGGATTTGGTGGTACACTCCTGTAGTCCCAGATACTTTCCTGGGCAATTTTGACAGACTCCCATCTCAAAAATTTTTAAAAAGTGCTGGGGATGTAGCTCAGTGGTAGAGTCCCTGGGTTCAATTTCCAGTACCAAAAAAAAAAAAAAAAAAAAAAGTGGAAAAAACTGCAGAAAATATTTCCAAATTATGTATTTGATAAAGAATTTGTATTAAAAATATGTAAAGAACTTTTTCAACTGAATGGTAAGAAGATAAACAAACCAATTAAAAATGGGCAAAAGATCTGAACAGACATTTCACTAAAGACATATGAACAGCTAATAAATTCATGAATAGATGTTCATTAGCCATTAAGGAAATGCATATTAAGATTATGTTATTGCTGAGTGTGGTGGTGCATGCCTGTAATTCCAGCGGCTCAGGAGGCTGAGGCAGGAGGATGGCAAGTTCAAAGCCAGCCTCAGCAAAAGTGAGCTGCTAAGCAACTCAGGGAGACCTGTCTCTAAATAAAATACAAAATACGGCTGGGGATGTGGCTCAGTGGTTTACTACCCCTGAGTTCAATCCCTGGTACCTACCCCCAAAGGCTATGTTATTATTTTATATCCACTAAAATAACTATTTTAAAATGCACAGTGATATGGGCTGGGGTCATGGCTCAGTGGTAGAGCACTTGCCTAGCATGTGTGAGGCAGAGGGTTCAATTCTGAGTACCACATATAAATAAATAAAGATCCATTGACAATTAAAAATATTTTWAAAAAATGGACAGTGATAAATAYTGGTGAGGATACAGAAAAACGTGGCCCTCATACATTGTTGATGGGAATGTAAGATAGTTTGGCCAGTTTGGGAAAAAAATTGGCAGTTTCTTAAAATGTTAATCGTGAATTTGACATGTAATCTAGAAATTCTTCACTTCTAGTTATCTAACCCAGAAAATTGAAAACATATTTACACAAAGAATTGCTTGAGAATGTTCATATTAGCATTATTTATAGTAGGCAAAAATGGAAACAACCCAAATGTCCATTTATTGGTGAATGGATAAACAAAATGTGGAGTATCCATAAAATGAATTTCAGCAACAATGAAACAAAATTCTGAAACATGTTACAACATGGATGAACCCTGAAAAAATACTAAAGGATATAAAGATTCATGCTGTCTGATTCCATTTATATGAAATGTTCAGAAAAGGCAAGCCTAAGAGACAGAAAAGCTGGGTGTGGTGGTGCACATTGCAATCTCAGCAACTCAGGAGGCTGAGAAAAGAGGATGGCAAGTTTGAGGCCAGCCTCAGCAATTTAAGTGAGGCCTAAGCAACTTATTGAGATCTTGTCTCAAAATAATAAACAAAAATGGCTTGGGGTGTTCAGTGGTTAAGCGCCCCTGGGTTCAGTACCTGGTAACAAACAAACAAAAAACAAGACAAAACAAAACAAAAATCAGAAAAGATTTRTGGTTACCTGGGGCTGAGGGTGAGAACAGAGAGATGGCAAAACAGCACATCTTAAGAGAATGATGTTATAAGGAAATGTTCTAAGACTGAATTATGGTAATGGTGAAGGGTAAATTTGCTAAAAATTCTGAGAACAGGTGAATCACTTAAAAATAGGTGAATTTTGTRGCACACAAATTTCAATTCAATGCAATTATTTTAAAATGACAGTAATATGTTAGCCATTGTAGCACTGTTTTAAGAGAAAGATTAGAACCAACTTAAATGTCCATCAATAAATGACTAAAATCAATCTATACAATGTGTCTGCATTTTATAGTTATTTTTATTTGGAATATATAATCTTCAGGTTTTATTAGGGGAAGTGAAATATATCTAGTATGGTATCATCTATGTGAAAAATAGGGGAAGGGAAAAATGTGTATTTGAGAATTTTCTCTTTAATGCCCAGAAGATACACACACACACACACACACACACACACACACACACACACACACACCTTTGGGAAGCTATATAAGAAACTGGTTTACCTATGGAGAAGGCAACTGGTAGATAGGAATGCAAGTGAACACTGCATGTTTGAGCCACATGAACTATGACCTATACAAAAACAGTAAAAATTAAAACTTAAAAAAAAAAAAAATCTGTTCTAATAGAGGGGTTATTTTTTACTTTCAATTTACATTTTTACCAATAGGTGGCACTCTTGAAACACCACATTGTACTTATTTTTACCCCCCTACCCCACCCGGTTTGAACCCAGGGCCTCACAGAGTTCATACATGCTAGACAGATAAACAAGTGCTCATTATTGAACCATATCTCCAGCCTTGACTTTTATTTTGAGAAAAACCCAAATTTGCTCTGGTGGCCCCTCCTCTTGGTTTGTCATCTCTACAATCCTGGAGTTTAGAATTAGGGCTCAAAATCTCTCTGCTGAGAGCTCTCCAAAATGTATTGCTTTGATTCTGAGAACTCAGTAGAAGGGAGAACACCTGGATTAAAAAAAAAGAAAAATTGCAATTAGTTGGGAAATCAAATAATGCTTTCAGTAAGCCCCAAATAATAATGGGGCTACTACTGGCATCTGCACAGGACAACCCAAAGAATCAACTAGCCCAAAATGCTAATAGGATGTGGAGAGACACTAATAAGGTTAATATTTAGCATCTCTGTGGCTTGAGGCCCTGCTCTAAGAGGATTTAGCTACACACAGCATTCATATTTTCTTAGGTCAAGGTAACCAGTACCGGTCCCAGTATTTGTAGATAAGGGATTCCACAGTCAACTGCTTCTCATGCATCTCTCTCTCTCTCTCTCTCTCTCTCTCTCTCTCTCTCTCTCTCTCTCTCTCACACACACACACACACACATCTTTGTAGCTGCTTGGGGAAGAGAGTTATACTTGGCAGCAGTTGGGGGAGAGGAGATGTAAAGGCACTTACTCTGAACTGGTGTTGAAGAACCACCTACTCTTGAGTCCTGAGGTCACTTCTTCCTTTGGTGGTTTCCTTGAAGATGGCTGTACTGGTCATCTTCCCGATCCTTGAGAGGCTGAAGAGGACAGCAAAGTAGTAAACCCATCTTTCCTACCCACTCTTAATTAATATGGTGCATATTGATTGAATTATTTTTCCTTCCTCTTCTCTCCTCCTCCTCCTCCTCCTCCTCCTCCTCCTCTTCTTTTGGTATCGGGGATTTAATCCAGGGGTGCTCAACCACTGAGCCACATCTCCAGCATTTTTTTAAATTTTTTTTTCTCCAGCATTTTTAATTTAAAAATTTTTTTAAAGACAGCCTTTGAGTTGCTTCATGTCTTTCTAAGTTGCTGAGGCTGGCTTTGAACTTGAAATCCTTTTGCCTCAGTCTCCTGAGCTGCTGGGATWACAGGTGTGTGCCATTGTGCCTGGCTTGTCTGTTTTCTTCCTTTCTTTCTTTCCCTTCCTTCCTTCCTTTCCTTTTTTCTGGTTTGAATCCAGTGGTGCTCTACCTCTGAGCTACATCCCATCCCTTTTTGTTTTTTTATTTTGAAATACAGTTTTGCTAAATTGCTGAGGCTGGCCTCAAACTGGGATCCTCAGCCTCCCAAGTCTCTGGGATTACAGGTGGGTGTCACCATGCCTGGTTAACTGAATGCTTTTTATGTGCAAGGATATGGAGTGGGTGCTTTATGTTCCTAGGGGCCAAAAGAAGATGAGGAGAGGGAGGCTCTGTGTATAGCTTCTTTATGTGTCCCTCTCAGTATATTCTTCAACTTTTCCTCAGTCTCTTTCAGTCCTTCTCTTTATTTTTCCCATTCTGCTCAAAAGGACAATCATCTTATTATTTGGTATGCTGTAAGTGGTTCATTCTCTGTATAGTAGTTTCTAAATGATTTGCTTCTCTCCCCAAATTTCCTCCCAACTAATGATGGCATTGTGTCTTTCATTCCTTATCCCTTACCTGGTAAAGCTGGTCATTGGGTAACAGAGTCTGCTTGTCTGAAGCTGCACAAAAAATAAAATATACATACATAAGAATGATAAATTGACATTGGTATTTTGATAAAATTTTCAATCTCATATTTTTTTTTTATTTCTTGGAAGGATAAAAACAAAAGGCATATTTGTGTTTAGTATTAAAAATATGGTCYATTTGGGCATGGCAGTGCATGGCTAAAATCCCAGTGGCTTAGGAGACAGGCAGGAAGATCATGAGTTCAAAGTCAGCCTTAGCAACTTAGCAAGGCCCTTAGTAACTCAGGGAGACTCTGTCTCTAAATATAAAAAAGGGCTGGGATGTGGCTCCATGGTTAAGTGCCCCTGAACAAAAAAAAAAAAAAAAGACCATATTCACTCAATGGAATACTAAATAGTATAAGAATCAACAATATACAAGAACATGGATAAATCTCATAAGTGTATTTTTGAGTGAGAGAAGCCATGCACAAGAATTCTTATTGCATGAATTCATTTGCCTAAAGAACAACCACAATGAAATAGGATACATTGATCTCTGTTGTTAGAAGTCAGGATAGTAGTGGGGTAGTGGGATGGGTAGTGGTTGAAAATGATCCTAAGAGGAGCTTCTATGATGTTGGTGATATTTTCTTTCTTTCTTTATATATATTTTTAAAATTTTAGTTGTTGATGGAACTTTATTTTACTCATTTATTGGTATGTGGTACTGAGAATCAAACCCAGTGTCTCACACATGCTAGGCAAGCACTCTACCACTGAGCCACAACCCCAGGCCAATACTTTCTTTCTTAAACTGGGTGCTGGATGCATGGATGTTTTGTTGAATGTTTTCAGCTGTAAGCTTGTGATTCACTTTTCTATATGTAAGTTTTACCTCAGTGAAGAGTTTTCAAAAAACACAGAGAACAAATCAGAGGAGGTTGGGTCTTGGAACAGGTAAATATACTGGGGTAACACCAAATGTCTCTTTCCTGCCTTACCCAAGTCTGCACATTAGCAACATGTGCCAGCATGGTCTCTGTTATTGGGTCTATTTTGGTAGGAAGGAAAGGTAAGGTCTCGGGTGGTTCCACATCTCAGGTAAGAACATTTTTTTACCTCCTCATTTTGTTTTTGTGGCGCAGGGGATCTAATCCAGGGACTTATGCATGCTAGCCAGGTGCTCTACCACTAGGCCATACCCTCAGCCCTCTTTTACCTCTTGACTGGTGAACTCCGTCCTGTCCAGCAATAAAGTAGACTCCAACAGCAAGGAAGAAAATGCTGATGATTTCAGCGAAGATGAAGCCAGATACGGTGGCTGCATTTAGCTCAATGCAGTTCTGACACACTGGGGGAAACCAGGCACAGTGAGGCATGAGCCTCCCATAGGGTGTGAGTGTTGTTCTTCCTGGATCTTTTTCTCCTGCCTACCAGCAACAACGCTTCTGTCTGGGGCGGCAGGCTTCTCCCTCTGTTAGAGGTATGGTTAGGGAAGATCCTTGGACCAAGAACTCAGTGCTTCTCAATGTTCCTCACTGAGAAGTCCTAGGGAAGCCCAGGAACTATGTGGAAKAGAAGAAAACCCAGGTCCTGTTCTCCCCACCCCTGTATCCCTCTCTTCACTGCTGCTCACCTTGTAATCTTCCTTACATTCCCACTCCYCCACCCAACTCAGTTTACCAGTGTTGCTAAACTTCTCCAATTCATGGGGCCCAACCAAAAGTAAGCCAGCGTTTACAGGACTAATTATGCTTTTTCAAAAAGATGAGAAAACTGTCTTGTTAAAAAAGCAGCGCCTGTAATCCCAGTGGCTTGGGAGGCTGAGACAGCAGGATTGCAAGTTCAAAGCCAGCCCCTCAAAAAGCGAGGTGCTAAAAGTAACTCAGAGAGACCCTGTCTCTAAATGAAATACAAAATAGGGCTGGGGATGTGGCTCAGTGGTGGAGTGCCCCTGAGTTCAATCCCCAGTACCTACCTTCCAGAAAAAAAAAGAAGAAGCAAACTGAGATGAAGAGAAATGGCTATTACTGTAGTCACTGTTCAGTATCTATTTCTACCTTCATCCTAGACAGTAATCTCACCAGAAGAGTAAGCACCACTTAATTTCACAACAAACAAACCAAAGGGGATTACATACTTCTATAATAAACTTGGAATGGCCTTGAAATGGACCCTGATCCTCCACACCAATATATCCCTTGAGGGTCTTTGGCATTACTTCCTATATTGAATGTTTTTTCACTTGTATTTTGGACAAGTGTATTTGGAGAATCTTTAAACCATTGTATGTATTTGTCGGTCAAGTTACAAGTCAGAAGTACTGAACCATCTTCTCCATCGTCCTTCACTTTTATCAGATGTTTTTCTGAAAAGGAAAAGCCCGATATTCTGTTAAGGGTCTTGCCTCTGAAATTCCCTCTACCTCAGGGTACCAGGAGAAGACCTTTAGTGTAGTAATAAAGTTGTGCCTCAAACTTCAATGTGTAGTCCTAGTGAGGAGAGATTCTGCATTATAAACATACTCCTAGGTGTTGCCAATGCTAATGGCTCACAGGTCACAGTTACATGTGACCTGTCTATTTACCAGGTTCCTCTTTCTCCTGCAAGGACCAGACATTGCTTATCTATAGGAAAGCTGCCCAGAACAGGTTGCAGCAGGCTGATTTTGTTGATAATGGAGATAGCAGCTATCTATCACCCTTCACCTCATCCTTTCTAAAASTGTTTCCTTCTGAGGGACTTTTTATTTTCAGTATTGGGCATTAAATCCAGGTGTRCTTTACCACTGAGCCACATCCCTTTTTATTTTTTATTTTGAGACAGGGTCTCACTAATTGCTAAGGGTCTTGCTAAGTTGCTGAAGCTGGTCTGGAACTTGTAATACTCCAAGGAGTTGAGTTTAGAGGTGTGCACTACTTCTGTAGCAAGTCACATTTCTATGAATTTCCTCAGAGATTAGGGACAGAAAGAAGTCTTTTTTTCCTACCTTCCTTTGACTGGACCACAGCACCTGTAGACAACAGAGAGAGGATCAGGTGGGCATGGAGTTATTGTGACGCCCTGAAGTATTCTCATGGTCATTTGAGGTCAAGATCAAGAGGGATTCTAACCCATGGGAATGACAGAATCTGTTCCCACATTCCTGGATGTAGCCTAAATTACTGAATTGAAGTCAACATTATAATGAAGAATTTGTTTGGTTTTTGTCCCAGCTTCCTGGATGGGAGTTTCTAGCCCTTGGAATTCATGAGTGATGCAGTGCATCTGCTATTCTTGGTACCCACTTGGGCTGTACTTGAGCTCATGCTAAGRCAATGACTCAGGATGGGCCTGGTCAAGACCAACCATATGGGGCTTTGAAGTCACTGCTGCCAATCCTGGGAGGGGAGTGGCTGAGATGGAATTCAGTTAACTGGCCAATGATTCAATCAACTGTAACACTGTGGTGGCACCTCCATAATAATGTAATGGAGCTTCATGGTTGCTGGGAAGGTGATGGGTTCTGATTCCCCAGGGAGAGGCCATAGACACTTTGTGTTCAGAACTCCCCAAGGCCTTGCCCTCTCTGTTTCTTTCAAATATATATATATATATATATATATATATATATATATATATATATATATATTTTTGCTGTAACAGTAAGTAAAATACTTTCCTGAGTTCTGTGAGTCATTCTAGTACATGTTCAAACATGAGGAGTCATGGGAACTCTCTGGATATACAGCTAGTTTGTCAGTTAGTGAGGTCTGGGGACTCCTGCATTTGTGGGAATACCTTTGCAGTAAGGGCAATTTTGTTGGCGGCTGTGCTCTTGTGAGATCTGCCATTAACTCTGGGGGGTTAGCATCCAAATTGTATTGCAGTATATGTAAAGGTATTGACTATACAGCCCAGAATGTTCTATTCTGTTAGCAACTAAAACCCTATCAAAGGGTAAGTGTGGYCAAAGCCTTTGAAGTTGACTTATTTCTAAAATCTTGGCAATCTTTTTCTTATAGAAACCCTAAAAAGTGAGTTTATTATAGAAACCCTGAAAAATGAGTCCCAGGAAATTGAGCTATTCAATTAGCCCTCAAATCTCTCTCCATAACAGGTTGCATGGTAGAGTAGTACAGAGAAATAGCTCTGGAATTAATTCAATTTGATTTAATTCAAACATTTACCGAGCATTATGATGACCTAACATGATTAAGTATTGTGAAGTAAAAGGGTGGTGATGTCAAGAACCAGTTGCTCTTCTAAAGAATTTAAGATGAAGTGGAAAAAATAAGCATATGTAATTAATGTAATGGAACTCGTAACTTATCTTTTAGTACTAATATGAATGCATTTGAAAAGAAATAGAAGCTGTTGTGAGAAATTTGGCTGAACCCTGAAGAATGAAACTGTAAGAATTCATTAGACAGAGAAAGACATTTTGGGTAGAAAAAAAACAGGTGAGTGAAGATATAGATTTGGTAAAGGACAAGAGAAGCAGTGTGGCTGGAGTTAGAATGTATGATGAAGAGAGCTGGTCAGGAGTCAAAGTATGATAGAAATTGCTGGAAGGAGTCAACTGTCTTAGAATTTTGTGCAGGGCTGAACTGCTTATGAATAGTCTCCAACACAATGCCTACACATAGTAGGAGCTTCGTATTGTTGGACAAATGCCTGAATGCATTTAAATGAGTAAATGCAGAAGAAAGGCATAACAGTTAAATAGATTTCTCAGCAGCTCTTCTCCCTAAGAATTGATCACCAAAGAGTCCCTTGCTTCAAACTCAGATTCCAAAGGAAGGAAATGGAACTATTGCTGATGTTTGTTACATCTGAGTGTTGCTTCCTTTCAGAACTTGAGAGCTCCCATAGCAAAATTTCTGGATTGATTGTTAAGAGAACTGAGCCCAGAGGGTTGGAGGCCTTGTTCCAGAGTACACACACAGCTCATTGGTGTCTGAGCTGGACCCAGAGCTCACATTTCTATTGCTTGATCCAAAGCTCTTTTCACTATATGCAGCTAGCTCCCTCCAGCTCCAGGGCTGCCCTCTAACCTGTGTTACCTTTTTATCCCTTTTCTCTCAGAAATAATCCCACACTCTTCCTGTCTTCTTAAGTTTCCCACTTGGCTATCATCAGCTCAGTTTCAGCGGGTGATATTGCCTTCCACTTAGTTTTTTTGAGAACACAGGTCCTGTTAGCCTTTTCTCCAGCTTCTTTCTCTTTACAAGTCTCCCAATGGCCAAGCCATCTGTATTTCCTTTCTGCTAGTCCCAGCAGGTAACATTGCCTTACCCTCTGTGCCCTTGACTCCCTTCCTAACTCTGTACTTCCGACATCAACAAATGTGCTCAAGTTTCTCTTACCCTCAAAAATATTTCTTCTTAGACTGTACTTTTACCTCTGCCTCCTGCTCCATCTCTCCTGCCTTTCATTCAGTTTCTTTCAAGAGTAGCCTATACTCACTGCCCTTTATCACCTGCCTTCGTCCATTAGGTTTTCACTCACACTATTCCACCAAAACTGTTCTTTTTTTTTTTTCTTTTTTTTTTTTTAATCTCTCTCTCTCTCTCTCCTCTCTCACTCTCTCTCTCTTTTTTTTTTTTTTAAGAGAGAGTGAGAGAGGGGAGAGAGAGAGAGAATTTTTAATATTTATTTTTTAGTTCTCGGCGGACACAACATCTTTGTTGGTATGTGGTGCTGAGGATCGAACCCGGGCCGCACGCACGCCGGGCGAGCGCGCTACCGCTGAGCCACATCTCCAGCCCCAAAACTGTTCTTATTTAATTACTCATGAATTTTATTTTGCCAGATCCCACAAACCTAAATTTTAAATATGTTCTTATGTGGTTGGACTCTCGCTAACATTTCATACTCTTGGTAATTCTCTCCTCTGGAAGCTGTCTATTCCATGCTTTGTACTCTTCTGATTATTTCAGGTCCTTGACCATTCTTTCATTGCTTTCTTGAGTTTTTTTTTTTTCTCCCGTCTAATTATCCCATAAGAGTTGGTGTCTTACAGTTCCATCCTGACATATCACATGGTACTTGTGCAATATCAATAACTGTAGTGGTTTTGGCTTCCCTCCATGTGTTCAGACTCCAGATGACCATTGGATATTTTAAACTGGACATTCATTAAGGCAACCCTGATTGCACCTTATGCTCAGTATGGCAACATTGAAATTTAACTCTCTAATTACACCATAAGCTCTTTAGAGCAGAAACTTTTTATTTATCTTTTTATCCTTCTGCACTATCTGCCCATTTGGATCTTACCCATTCTTGTGGACCAGTTGGCCAACTGACCAAGTGAGTGAGTGAGTGAATGCTTCACAGGTCTACTGCTAAGCCCATCTCTGAATCAGAGAACACGTACCTTTCCCTTTCAGTTTTCTTGCCTGTGCCCTTTTGGGCTACATTCAAGCCTAARATGGCGGCAGCAGGGTCTTCTCAGTTAAGCCCTCTATTTTGATTTCTCAGAGATAAGAACCCCTTTGAGACATTACTTCTCTCTAGTTGAGAACAGTAAGAAGTTTCATTTTGCCTTTCCTTCTTTATTCAAAGAATAAAGATGACTGCTGAGGTAGGTTCAAGGTTAGGATTCCAGCAGCCCTGTCTTTCTGGTGATGGCCTCTACCAGTGAGCCCTTCCCCAGGTTGCCAGACCCCCTAGCAGCTCTTACCTTGAAGAAGAATGGTAGCCAGGATGAAGCGAGTCAGACCCTTCCCCTGCTCCATGTCAGTTTCTACTCTTCTTGGCAGAAGTGTGGAGCAAGCCTTAGCAGCCAGCCAGCCTGAGCAGCAACTGATTTGGCTCCGCCCAGCACCTAGGGCCCCTGCACAAAGGCAAGAACCCAGCGCCTCCACCCTCTGCTTCAAGTGTGGGCAGCAGGGGCTTTCTCAGGGTTGCAGGTGCAGATAGATGCCTCTTGTTTTTCTGTTAAGGAGTACAGAGGAGGTGGTAAGGAGGGAGAGGGAGAGAGAACTGAATTTCCACTCAGAGACTTGGCTTGCCCTGAGAACCCCTTTGGATGCTAGGTTGCGGGTATGATCCTGACCTCTTTTCTTCATGAGAGAGATAAACATCCTGTTTCCTGTTGTTGCTAGGATTGCAGCCAGTTGTCACTTGATGCTGTAACTAATGACTTTAGGCAAGATTCTCAGGTGCTTGGAGCTGGAACTCCATGTGCAAAAGCTGACTAGGCCTTTATTCAGGAATTTTTTGTCACTATTTTTTTAAGATCATCAAAGTGGTGCCTGCCTGGAAGAGAGTAGATGGGAGAATTTCAACAGGACTGCCAGCACATTTCCAGGGATAAGGCCTGGATTGAGTTTCCAGAATCTGAGGTCCCTGTCTCCCTCATCCAGTCAATCAGTGACCAACAGAAATTCACAGAGCTCTGTTATGTGCCTGTCACAAAATCCCAGCAGTGAGCAGGACAGACATGGCTCAGTCCTATTGTAGAAGTATGGAGTTTCAGATCCCTACGGGTCACAAGGGGAAAAAGTACATTGTCTCCTGGGAAGGCTTAATTTTGCCAGGGAGTTGATTATATTGTTATTAATGACTTCCTCTTATGGAGCACATCTGATATGGCAGACACTATACAAACACCTTTTTTCAAATCCTTATAATGATACTGAGAATGAGGCTCTGGAGAATTCCATGCCTGGCTCTTGTAGTGGAGCTGGGATTCAAGTCTCTGGCTGGCAATGCTCTGAAGTCCAATTTCCCAGTGGCTAGAAGCTGTTCCATCTGGTGTCTCAGTCTGCCCAGGGAAGGGTCCTGAGAAATACCAGAAATGGGAGGAACCTAGCTGATAGGATTGTGCAATGGGGGTCATACCTTCTCTCAAGGGGCTATGAGAGGTGGCAGTTTTTAACTAGTAAGTAAATTTGTAGTTAGGTTGTCAACAGGGACTGTGAAGTTCTCATTTTTCACCAATGACTCAGGAAAGGCTGTCCTAAATCTCCATTCACCTCCTAGAAGTCCAGGCAACCTTCTCCATATTCTCTACTTTGACTTCCGTCCCAACCCCAAGCTCCCTGCTCAGAGAAAGAACAATTTGCAACTGCTTCCTTCCTACCCCACCCCTGACCTACTCCTTTCATCAAAGGCAGAGAGCAGAGAGGCAGACATCTTACAGCTCCTCCCCCACTCTTTACTTTTTCCGCATACCCATGAATCATTTGGGGGAAGGTATCTTTCACTCTGGCTGGTAGTTCCTTGACCTGGCCCTATCTGCTGGGTGAATTCTACCAAAAAATGGAACTCAGCAGGTTTCTGTCCCATCTGATACTGTCTGCCATTCTCCATCAAGGTAAGTAAGGCTTCTCCAAGCAGGTGGCGGAAGGTCCCTGCAAAGGACATTACTACTGGGAGAGAGGTCCACTGGAAAGTGCTTCTCAATGTTGTTCCATTGAGAACAACACCCTAGGTGTCAGGAGGGCAAGGTTGAGAGGTAGAAAAGAGGTGCTTAGCTTCAACTTATTCTAGCCAGGGCACGTGTTGGCCCTGAATGTCTCTCTTTAAAGAGCTTAGGCCAGAGATCTATAGGAAATTGATCAGTATGTGTGTGCCTTAGTGGAACTATGTGCACTCCTTCCAGTATTTTCAGGGCTCTTATTCATTTGTCCATCATTATGTGACCATCTGGAGTCATGTTCCAGGACTCAGGGGAATGCTTTAAGAGAAAAATTAATTTTAGGTTGTGAAAGCAAAAGGGCAGATTGGTGTGTGGAGATCATTACATGGTCAATAGTATACCAATACACCCCTGTTTGTTATGGTTTGGGGGATTGAACCCAGAGGTGATCTAACAGAGCTACACCCACAGCCCTTTTTTTATTTTTATTTTTATTTATCTTAAGAGAGGATCCTGTTAAATTGTAGAGGCTGACCTTGAACTTGCTGTCCTTCTGTCTCAGTCTCCTAGCAGCTGGGATTACTGGTGTGCTTCACTGCACCCAGCTCTTGTCTTAGGTTGTTTTTAAAACAGAATCACAGCTGCTTAGGAAGGTGAAGTAGGAGAATTCCTTGAAGTAGGAGAATTTCAAAACCAGCCTTGGCAACATACTGAGACACTGTCTCAAAAAAGAGAAAAGAAAAAGAAAAAAAGTAAACTGAAATGGAGCTGGGGATGTAGCTTAGTGACAGAGCACTAGACTAGCATGTGTGAGGCCCTGGGTTTAATCTCCAGTACCACAAAACAAAAGAAAATAAAACAAGAGAACTCTGAAAATTCCATGTCCCAGAATCCTCTTACTCTCAGGAAAATTGGGTTAAATAGTCAYCCTAATTCACAGCAACCCTGGAACACCCAGCAATTCTGCTAGAAACAATTCCAAAGACATGGCTCTAGGAAGTAAAGTACTTGAAATACATATGTCTCCCTGAGACATATACTCCTGATTTGCTTCAGATGCAGGAGAAATAACTATTTTTTAAGAATGTTTTTATATCCAAATCCCTGAATATGAAGCTCAGGGAGAACATAAGTTTCACTTTTCCCTGGGATGAGTATTAGAGATTCCAGAGCCCTTGTGGAGATGCTCTCAGGCTGTCAAAGAAATTCAGTGGYTCTAGAAAGAATCTGGCTCACCTCTGGCCTTAAACTCCCCACAAGATTTGTGTGTGAAGCCTCAATAATAAATTTGATAAATATTTTTTTTCTGTCCTTCTTCTCATAAGCAAGTGTGAAACAACTGAAAATCTTTACATGGGATTTGCTCTCGTAAATCTGGATCGTTGGGCTGGTRGTTTATAGCAGCAACTCCCCACTCCAGCCATCATCTAAAGCCTGGGGAAGGCTTGAGGAGTGAGTGCCCCATTCCTCTGGTGGATATTGGGGAAGAGACAAGGGGGAGGAAAGAGGATGAGTCRTTGAAGTGGTAGTGTTATAGGGGATTGATTGGGGAGTAGAATTAGAAGACTTCTAGTAGAATAATTGCAGACCTCTCCAACCTGGGAACATTCTTGAGCCTTTCCAAGTTTCCTGGGAACTGCAGCAGTCTATTCTCCCCTCCTTCTTCTAATCAGTGGTCTGAATGCATTTTCAGGAAGGTTCTTGGATCAACCCAGCTTCACAGCTTCTTCTTTTGCCCCAAGTSCCTCAGGGCCTGCTCTCTACTTCTACTACGGCTTCATAACCTTCCTGATCTGCAGTTCACTTCCTGAACTCTTTCTCTTATCACTTCTGCCTCTCTCATTAGAAATCATGACTATCCTGTACTCCCAAAGTGATCCTCAGCAGAATAGGGGTCTTGTGTAGACCAAACAGCTCTCTCTGATTATGATATTTTTCTTTCTCTTAGTGAGCCCCTCGAGTGTGAGCCCCTCTGTGTTGGAAATTGAGGACAAGGTGCTTTTGCAATGCAATTCCAGTGTCATGTGGCTAGAAGGCACAGTGGGAACAGAGTTAGCAGTCAATAAAAATCTGGACTTGGGAAAACGCATCCTGGACCCACGAGGAATGTATATGTGTAAAGGGAATGACACGAAGAAGTCCACTGTGCAAATATATTATCGAAGTATGTGCCTCCTGGACCCATTGGATTGGAATGGCGGGCCTCTGAAATGAAACAATCTGTTCTCTAAATAAACTGGGGTTACTCTTGTAATGTCATGAGTCAAATCTGGAGGTCTTCAGAGAGGGAGRGAGAGCTTGACCCAGCAAGGCAGAGTGGTAGGGGCCTTGTTACCACAGGCTTGGTTGGCAGAGGGATTTAGCCCATTACCTAGTTTAAGGTTCCATCAAGCCGAGATTACTTCTGGGGTCTCTTCGGGAATTCCTTGGGATAGGGGAGAGATGGATATAGCAAGGCCATCAGTAGGATCTTAATGAAGTTTGGGTCTTAGTATGAGAGATCCTAGGGCTGCCACAGGAGGCAGATATGGTTCCCTGATCTTGGAAACTCTCTACTCCTCCTCTTCCCCAGTGTGCCAGAACTGTGTGGAGCTGCACCCAGGCACCCTGGCTGGCATCATCGTTGCTGACATTATTGCCACTCTGCTCCTTGCTTTGGGAGTCTACTGCTTTATAGGCCATGAGACTGGAAGGCTCTCTGGAGGTTAGTAGAGAAACAGAGAATATGAATCAACAAACTCATGCTCCTTCTGAAGAAGGGGGCTGATGGTAGATTTGGTCTCATCTGGGAGTCATTCTTGCCATGTTCTACCACTGGATATTGAAAAAAACTTGTGCACCCATATTGCTCATGTAGACTTTTGAGGGCGTGGGAGGGTATGACCAGCTGCAGACCCCTCTGTAGCTTTCATGGGTATCATTATCCCTTCCCCCCTCACCCCTAATGATACTCCTTCCCTTGTTCTTCTAGCTGTGGACACTCAAACTCTACTGAGGAACGAGCAGCTCTATCAGGTGAGCCCTGAGAGGAGGGAGACAAGATCAGAAGGAGGAGTGAGTGGGAATGGAGAAGCTGACACTATGTGTCATGTGCATTTGTGGAGCATTCTAGAAGCCATCATTGAGGGTGTCTGGAGAGGGCAGAAGAGCTTTGATCCTGTCTCACTGTCGACCTTTTCACCTCTTAGCCTCTCCGAGATCATGATGATGGTCAGTACAGCCGTCTTGGAGGAAACTGGGCTTCGAACAAGTGACCCTGAGACCCAGTGGCTTCTAGAAGCATCACTATCAACTGTGCCTTCTCTCTTTGCTCAGCCAATAAAGATGTCCCCTTTAACCCAGCAGGTGCCTGCACTTTTTAAGGCTCTGGGGCAGGGGATAGGAGTTGTCCTGACTTGGCTGGGATTTGGCCTTCCCTGCCTTCCTTCATCTTTTCCCTTCCTCTGTCACTCATGGACACTGTGAGGGGCCATCTCCCACCCTGGAACCCATCTTGTTTCTAGTCCAGTGGGCTTCCAGGGTGAAGGGGTCTGTCCTACTATCCTCCTCTGCCACTTGTTGACTCCAGTCCCTTATCACAAGCCTGTCACACTTTTAGCTGCCTCACCACGGATGAGGGCTGGCTGCTGTGTTTGGGAGCCAGTCACAAAGAAGTTTCCATGATGTCACAAGTGGGGGTGGCAGAGACATCAAGGGACTCATTTTTCTCCAAAACTCACAGAGTGTTGTGTGTGACAAAGTCCCAGTGCTAYTAAGGGTCTGACCTTGGCGTTAGGACCCTGTTGAGTAGTAGCCAGAACTGTGAGGAGGTCTCAGCCTAGGTTCCTTCAGTCCCCCTTTTCCCAGCATACCTATCTTTCCTTCCTCAAGACCTGTCTTTACTTGCAGACATTCATTTCATAGGAGACAGAATAAAGTTTCAATGTACACATGCTTCATTCACAGGCATGCTTTTTTCCTAGTTTTTAAATTCCAACCACTATAATTCTCCCTAGATCCTCCTTTCCCATTGAACTCCTCTACTGTGGGCATCCCTTCCTTGGCCAGTATTTCCCCTACACTTTGGATCCTTTTCATGCCCTGCATGCTTCCTTATACCTTGCATTCCTCAAATTTGCTTATATCCCACATCCACCAGTTCTCAACACTGGCTACATGTTGGAATCTCTGAGGGAGTTAAAAAAATATGGATGCCTGGATGCCTCCTTCTAAATTTACAGATCTGGGTTGCAGWTGGGCCCTAGGACTTAAAAAATTAAGTTGGGGTTGTGGCTTAGTGGTAGAGCACTTGCCTAGCATGTGTGAGGCATTGGGTTCCATCCTCAGCATCACATAAAAAGAAATACATATAAAAAAAGAAATACATAAAATAAAGGTACTAAAAATTTTTAATTGCTACATAATAATTGTAAAATTTGGGGGATATTGCACGATGTTTCAATGCATGTATACAGTGCGTACTGATCAGATGAGGGTAACTGGTTTACTTATTGCCTCAAACATTTGTCGTTTCTTTGTGTTATGAATATTCAAAATCCTATTAGCTATTTTAAAATATATAATTAAGTATTTGTCAACTCTAGTTATCCTACTATGCTATAGGACATTAGAAATGATTCCTCCTATCCAACTGCACCCATTAACCATTCTTGTTCCATACCTGCCCCCACTGCCACATGGGCCCCAGGGTTTTAAAGCTACCTACAGTGATTCTGATGTGAAACTGAGGTTTAGAAACACTTACTACCCTCCATCTGAGCTTTTTGGAAAATTGTGTCCCTTCTGGGCTTTCTCTTTCTCTCCTCTTTCTCCACTCTCTCTTTTTGTGTGTGTCCCTCTCTCTTTCTTTTAAACAACAGGAACAAGAATAAATTGTCCATGGGGCTGTGGCTGTGGCTCAGTGGTATCGTACTTGCTTGGCATGTGTGAGGCACTGGGTTCAATTCTCAGCACCACATATAAATAAATAAAATAAAGGTAATCAGCAACTAAAAAATAAAAAAGAATAAATTGTCCATACTTCAAATATGAAATGCATTTTTTTGTGTGTGTGCTGGGTATTCAACCCAGGGCCTCATATATGGTAAGAATGAGCTCTACCACTGATCAATTTTGCAAGTTTTCAAGTACATACATATGTATGTACTTGCGAAATATCAACAATCAAGATAATGAAAAATATTCGTCACCCTGAGGAGATCCTTCTCCTCATTTCTCTTTCCCCAGGCACCACTGATCTGCTTTCAGTCACTGTAGTTTTCATTTTCCTAGAGTTTTATATAACTGAAATAGTATATGTACCCTTTTTGTCTGGCTTCTTACGCTCAGCATAATTATTTAGAGAACCATGCATTGTGTTGCATAGTTCATTCCTTTTTATTGTTCAAGGGTACTCACTGTATGGATATATCACAGTTTGTTTATCTTTGTACCTATTGATGTTTTTTTAGTTGTTTATTGGTTTAGGCTATGCAAATAAAGCTGCTATGAACTCTCAGATGCTAGTCAATATGCAAAATATATGCTTTTTTTGTGTAAGTGATGGGGTTATTCTTTTTCTTTTTGGTACCAAGACTGAACTCAGGGGTACTCGACCACTTAGTCACATTCCCAGCTCTTTTTGTATTTTATTTAGAGACAGGGTCTAACTGAATTGCTTAGCACCTCACTTTTGGTGAGGATGGCTTTGAACTCASGATCCTCCTGCCTCAGCCTCCTGAGCAGCTGGGATTACAGGGGTGTACCACCCCGCCCAGCAGGACATTCTTTTTTAAAGAAAGTTGTTTTGACTGCTCTAGATTCTCAGCTCTTGCATTTGAATTGGCTTTTCAATTACTACAAAAATGCCTATCTGGATTTTGATCAGGATTGCATTGAATTTACAAATTGATTTGGGGAAAGTCAACATCCTAACAATATTGAGTCTTCTAATCCATATTCATGTTTTTTGTCAAGATTTATTCCTATTTTATATTTTTCATGCTGTTGTATGTGGTATTTTAAAAATTTCAATTTCTAATTGTTCATTGCTAGAGTTTAGAACTAAATTGATTTTTGTGTATTGATCTTGGACCTTGAAAACTTGCAAAGCTCACTCATTAATTCTAGTCGCTTTTCCTGTGGATTCTTTTCCAATGTCCTTGTCATCTGTTAATAAAGATGGTCGAACTTTTCCCTTTGTGACTGCATGTGATTTATGTCTGTGTCTTAGCTTACTGGGTTGGCTACACACTCCAGTAACATTGCAACAATGGTGGAGAGGAAGACATCCTTGCCTTGTTGACCAACTTAGTGGAAAGCAGTGTCCTTCATCATTAAGCATATTAGCTTAAGGTTTTTCTGAGATATCCTTTAACAGACTGAGGAAGTTTTTTTTTTCTCYTTCTACTTTGCTGAGAATTTTTATCAAAAATAGATGTGAGGAGGGGCTGGGGTTGTGGCTCAGTGGTAGGATGCTCACCTGGCACATGTGAGGCCCTGGGTTCAATCCTCAGTACCACATAAAAATAAATAAAGGTATTGTGTCCAACAACAACTAAAAAATAAATATTTTAATAAAAAACAAACAAACAAACAAAAAACCACAAATGGGATATTGTCAAGTGTGTGTAATGCGGCCATAGGGATAATTATATGATTTTACTTTTTTTAGTCTGTTCATATGATAAATTAAATCAATCTTGCTTTCCTGAAAAAGTTCTTCTTGGTCATTATGTATTAATCTTGCTTATAATATTGAATTAAATTTGCTAAAGTTATGATAAGAAATTTTGTTAAGCTCCTGGGACCAGCAGGGTACAGTGGCAAGTGTCTGTAATCCCAGCAATTCAGGAGGATGAGGTAGGATGATAGTGAGTTCAAGGCTAGGCTCAGCAATTTAGCAAAGCCCTAGGAAATTTAATGAGACTCTGTATCAGAATACAAATTAAAAAGGGCTGGGACCGGGCAGCTCGGTGATAAGAGTGCCATAGAGTCAGTCCCTGGTATTGTGGGGCGGCGAGGGAGGGAAGATTTGGGATTGCCTGGTGGTTTCCTCTTGCCAGCTCCTCTCTCCTGCTCGAAGACTGTATATACTGCCTGGGCCAAAGGCAGCAGAGCTGAGCCTCTGAGAGAAAGAGAGCTGATTTCCTGGTGTAAGCATTTTGATGAGGAGATAAGGCAGCTTTCCCATTTTGGTAATGGAGAATGTTCACCACATTTGCATTTGCTTCACGTCTTGGATACAGATTGCACCAAGATAATGTGAAAATTGGTGAAGATCGAGAGGGAAAATGCAAACTTCACCTATAGCCAAATTGACAGCATATTTTTTCAGAATTAAGACTCAACACTGGGTTCCTTCTTAGTTAATCCATGAAAGCCCACTTGGAAGCTGCAGCAGGGGAGCACAGCCATCTGCACACTTGGACACGAAAGATTATCTTCCATTAAAGAGGTCTCCCTTTTCAGCCAAACCATCGCAAGTGGTGAGAAGGGATCCTTTCCACTTGAACTCATCCAGATGAATCAARCTAGTCCTTTGGAGCAAGAAAAGGAGCTGCACCAGGATAGCTAGGTCACCATCTTCTGCCCACACCACTACTGAGCACCGCCCTCCAGGACAACCACTGCCTGCAGGTTATGCCCTATATGATGGCACCTGGAGTCGGAGCTCTGATCCTTCCCAGGTGCCACTCATAGAGCAGTATGAATTGATGTGTGGCTGTGTCTACCCAGATGATGTAACTCCTTTAATGTGCACCAAAACTCTTTTATGGGCTAGTGCTGACCCAGACCATCCCGTTCCCAGATCAAGGGCAGGGATTGCACGTCCTTCTTTGGTCATCCTGGTAAGTCTAGTTTTCATGAAACAGTGATCAGCTTAACTCAAATGCTGCTGACTGGCAAAGAAAAAAACATGGAAGGAGGATCTATATTCACGAGGGATTTTGGTCTGTGGTTTTCTTATGTCTTTGGTTTAGATCTCAGGGTATATTAGGGTTCTCCAAAGAACAAGCAACCACATATATTCATCTCTTATTGGTTCTGTTTCCCTGGAGAAGTTGGATGATGTATTTGTAGAGTCTGGCATGTCCACAATCTGCAGTGTATGCTGGCAGGCTGGAGATCCAGAAAAGAGTTGATGGCCTAGCTGTCCAAAGAGAGACTAGAGGCAGAATCCGCTCTTCTTTAGAGGACCTCAGTCTGTTTTCTCCAAAGGCTTTTGACCAATTGGATGAGGTCCATTTATATTGTGGAGGGCCATTCTGCTTTAGTCAAAATTTGCTGATTAGAATTGTCATAGCAACATCCAGATATGTATTTTTTTCTTTTTTTCCTCCACTTCTTTTTATTGGTGCATTATTATACATCCTGATGGGATTTGTTGTAACGTATTTGAACGTGCATACAATATACAATATAACAACATAATTTGGCCAGTGTCACTCTCTAGCACTTACCCCTCCCTCCCCATCTTCCACTTTCTCTACTGATCTCCCTTTGATTTTCATTAGCTCCACCCCATCTTTCTTTTTCTTTTTTCTCTCTAGCTTCCACATATGAGGAAACATGTAACTCTTAACCTTCTGAATTTGACTTATTTCACTTAACATAATGATCTCTAGTTCATTTGTTTGCCTGCAAATGACACAATTTCATTTTTTCTTTATTGCTGAATAAAACTCCATTGTGTGTATATCTTCCATTTTCTTTATCCATTCATTCATTGATGAACATCTAGGCTGGTTCCGTAGTTGGCTATAGTGAATTGTGCTGCTATAAACATGGGTATGCATTGATCACCGTAATATGATGACTTTAATTCTTCAGGATAAATACTGAGAAGTGGTATAGCTGGATCCTATGGTAGAGAAATTTTTGAGGAACCCCCATATGATTTCCTTAGTAGTTGAACAGATTTACAATYTCAACAATGTAAAAGTGTTCCTTTTTTTCTACACCCTCTCCAGCACTTATTATTATTTGTATTCTTCTTTTTTTAATATATATTTTTTAGTTGTTGTTGGACCTTTATTTACTTATATGCGATGCTGAGAATTGAACCCAGTGCCCCACACATGCTAGGCAAGCACTCTACCACTGAACCACAACCCCAATCCTTATTATTTGTAATCTTGATGGCTGCCACTCTGACTAGTGTGAGATGAAATCTCAGTGTAGTTTTGATTTGCATTTCCTTAATTGCTAATGATGTTGAACATTTTTTCATATATTTGTTGGCCATTTGTATTTCTTCTTTTGAGAAACTATTTAATTCATTTATTAATTGAGTTATTTGATTTTGGGGCTAAATTTTTTTTTAATTCTTTATATATTCTAGAAATTAATCCTCTGTCAGAAGAGTAGCTAGCAAAGATTTTCTGCCATTCTGCAGGTTTTCTCTTCACATTCTTAATTGTTTCCTATGCTGGGCAGAAACTTTTTAATTAGATGCCCTCTCATTTATTGACACTTGGCATTATTCCCTGAGCTTTGGGGGTCCTATTGAGAAAGTTATTGCCTACACTCAAGTATATTTGATCAAATATCTGGGCACTGTGGCCTGCCCAAGTTGACATATAAAATCAACTAGACTAATCAATACAAGTAAGTCTGGTTTCCATAGGATAAGTCTTCAATTTTCTRCCTGAGTTTGCAAAGAATTGGTATTATTTTTTTTCTTAAAGTTTTGATAGATTTCTCTAGAGAACCATTTGGACTGGGGATTTTCTTTTTGAAAAGGTTTTTTAACTACAAATTCAATTTATTTAATAAATAAAGGGCTATTCAGGATATCTATTTCATCTTCAATGAGCTTTCTCCAGGAGTGTATCCTTTCCATCTAAGTTGTTTAATTTATTGGCATAAAATTGTTCATAACTGTATGGCCTGGATGTCGTATCACCCCCTCCCCCTGCAATTTGTTGAAGTCCTGAGCACTGGGGTGATAGTGTTAGGAGGTGGGGCCTTTGGAAGGTGAGCAGGTCAGGAACATGATTATTGGCCTTATGGAAGAAACTCTAGAGAGATCACTTGCTTCTTCTGTCATGTGAGCACACAGTTTTTCCTAACCTCCCTTGAATTATGAGGTCATAGCAGTTATTTCTAGTGCTGTGTGAGACCCTGCCTCTAATTCTTTCAAGTGGTTCTTGGACCTCTTGCAGTTTCCTCTCTGGCGTATATTGATCACTATTCAGCTGAAGACTGCAGGGGTCCTCTTCAGATCTCTGGTGTCCTTATTAAGAATTTTCTTCTCTTACACTCTCTCCTGCAAACTCTCCTCAAAGACTCCTTGGCCTCACATCTTCCTTGCCTGCCCTCAGGGAGATCTCTGGGCTCTCCTTAGGTTCCTCCTCCTTGAGCCACACAGATGGAAATTATTTCTAGATCATAAACCGGAGCAATCCTAGGATTCACCRTGCTTCCCATTTCTCAGGAATCATTGTCCACAGTTGCCTGTTGTCCGATGTCTTTAAAATTGTTTTAACTTTTTTTTTTTTTTTTGGTCTCATGTTTTAATTGTTTAGGCAGAAGGGTAAATTCAATTCTTGTTACTCCATCTTGGCCAGTGTCAGAAATTGATCTTCTCTCTTTTTAATCTTTCCTTTATTCTCCATTACCCCTCTCCACTGTGCCCACCTTTACTGTAATCCTACTGCAATCTGTGGTTTTTCTAAAAAGTATAACCCTCCCTACTTTCTGCATCCCTGGCATCCTGCTTATCTTCTTTACCTTTATCCTGTTTCTGCCCCAAGTAGGAACCCTGCTCTCTATTTTAACTCCACATTCAACCTGTCCATCTATTTTTCCAAGGACATTTGACAGGATGGAGAGCAGTTCTTAGATTGCAATCAGTAGGGTAGATGTTGAGACCATTGTAGTTGGATAACCCTGGCTACTGATTCCAGCCCTGCCCTTCACTAACTGTGACTTGAGCAAAAGACCTAACTTCTCTGAGCCTCACTATCCTCATTTGTAAAGCAAGAGCAACACATCTATCTTGTGGAGTCATTCTAAAGATTAAATCAGATAACAACTGTGAAGGGCCAAGCACAGTTTCTGGAGCATAGTAAATGCTCAATAAGTGTGAGYTGTTATTATTGTCTTTATCATGCTGAGCTATGTCTTCCCTTGACTGCACATAATCAAATATACCTGGGACAACACCTGCCATCCCTGGGCCAGCCTACTGATCAACAGTTAGTGATGGGCAAAATCACTGAGGCTCTGAGCTTAAGTGCTGATGCTTACAGGGAAAGAAATGACCCTTCAACAGGGGCCAACAATCAGAATCTGTAGCCATAGCCCAATCTGAGCATGTGCAGGATGCTCACACTTTTGTGCTATTCACAAAAGGTAATTTTAGCTGTGGTCACACTTGTAATTAGCTCTTTGGTCAAGGGAGATTTCTGAATGCAGAGAGAGCACGCTGGTTTGAGCTGGACTAGCACAGTTTGCTCATGCTCTGGCTTCCTCTCTCAGCAAGCTGAGTGTGAGCCAGGGGAGACTGAGAACGAAGCCTTCCCACACTGGCCTGGGCCCCTACTGCTGCACCCCCCCATCCCAGTGCAGCCCACATCCTGTGCGGCTTACCCGCAGAGCTTCTAGCTGCAGGCAGCTGCCTTTAGAGCAGGAGGGAGGGGTACCTCCTTCCTCCACTGCCCCCAGCCCAGCTCAGCAGCTCTTCCTGGCAGCTTGCAGAAACCTGTGTCCCATCCCCAAGGCCCCCCTTATACCTCCACTGTTCATTTCTGTTACCTTGATCTACCTTTTTTTTTGGTACGGGGGATTTAACCCAGGGGCGCCTAACCACTGAGCCACATCCCCAGTCTTTTTAAATATTTTATTTAGACACAGGGTCTCACTGAGTTGCTTAGGGCCTCGCTAAGTTGCCGAGGCTGACTTTGAACTCATGATCTTCCTGCCTCAGCCTCCCGAGCTGCTGGGATTACTTCTATCTTGCCCATTTTATGACCTGATTTCTCCATGAGGGACCCATCAGTCACTCTCTGCTACCTTTGGCGTTTTCCTCCAAGAGGAATTAAACTTTCTGTATCTGCACCTCCCCATCCCTGCCTCCATTTCCCTCTTTAAAGAGAGCTTCAGATAATACCTCTACCAGCTGGAAAAACAGGTAGTACTTGCAGTACTAAATGGAATATTAAATATGAGTACTAAATGGAACCAAAGGTGAGGAACATCTGAGTTATCTTGTGAAGCAAGGTAGCCTCTGAGGACATTCCAGAAAAGAGGGACAGCAATTCTTTCAGCCAAACACACTTTATTTGTTTTCTCTGTCAGTGGAGAGGAGCTTACATGCATTCATGGAGTTGCGAATGACCATCCAGTAGCCTGCAGTAAGAACAAGGGAAGGGGGCTCAGGGCTAACTCTGGGCCAGGATCTGTGAATGGGACAGGGCCTCTGCCAACATTTACCCAGTCCCCCACAAAGAAGGCTGGAGAGAGAGAGAGAGAGAGAGAGAGAGAGAGAGAGAGAGAGAGAGAGAGAGAGAGAGAGCGGGGAAAATGGAAAGTTAAATGAAATTGTTAGTAATGAGGGAACATTTTTTTTTTTTTTGGTACTGGGAATTGAACCCAGAGGCACTTAAATACTG